CGGCAACTTTGGCGGCAGCAATAGCCTCATGTTTCTTCTGCTGCTTGCGAGCACGCAGGTGGGCACGATGCGCGGCATCCCGAGCCCTCTTCTTGAGAATTTTAGTATCGACATACTTGTCGCCAACCTCAACGAAGCGCATCTCCGGCCGACCTGGCCGCTGGACAATATTAGTAACGACACCATCGGACTCTGTCTTCGCCTTGGAAGCACGAGTCTTCTCAAGTATGTCCGGGATAATGGGTTCCTAAACGCGATGTGAGCAAGGAAGATTGATTGTGGCAGAAAATATCGACCTGGCCCTCGACCGTAGGCTCCCAGAACAGCCGCTGGTAGCGCTCACGGGCCTTTGTGTCGTAGCCCTCCTCGTCGTACTGAATATCAGCCTTGATAGTTTCTTCGCTCAAGGCTGTCACTTCAGTGCCAGAGACAGTCCTCCTGCGTTCTGAGACACCCAGAATGTACTCCATACCGACCTGGAAGCCAGTCTGAAGCCGTTTACCCTGTTGGCAACACGTCAGAATTTTGATGTTAAAAATGTCGAGAAAGTCAAATTCAGATGAGGTTGAAATCGATATAACCACGCTCTGGGCTATGTAAGGCACACAACGGTCTTCCAGTTCGTGGATGATGATATAGTCTCATCACGCATGATACATCGAAAGGGAATACTAACCTCCTGTAATACATCGATGCCGCGACAACGCCATCAGTTAGCGAATTCAAGTAAGACCACGAGCACAGCACAAATACCTAGAGGAAAGGCTTTGTTAGCGTGATGGTCCAAGGTGAGAAAGCATTTAGGATAGATCAGAAAGCCATGCATGTGTATCGTCTTTAACCATGAGGTACCCCGTGGGGCAGTCTTAAAGACTAATCGAATTAAACTCATCATAGAGCACGAAACGGTGTGTACGGTAAGAGAGGTGACACACGAACCTTCTTCCAGTGTTCTTCGAGACCCTTCAACCTCAGAACGGCGTCGACACGAGCGATGCTGAGGCCGTGAAGCGCAGCCAGTTCGCGCACATTGTTCTTCGTCGGGTCGGACATGAACTGTTCGTATATCAGTGTGCGCGTTTCATCCGATACAGGTATAGGAGGCTTGAAGGTAGAATTTAGAGGGAAGGGCTATCCCAACGTCAGACAAGACATATATGAATATCAACTCGACGTTGACTCAACTGTAACGTTCCCTCCAAGCCAGTTACGCGATCTGTGAGGTTCTCTAAACTGTCTTCCCTCGCCGTTTATCCACGCGGAGTAACCCTTGTCGTCGTCCGGGAACGGATTCTGGGTCGTGTTGACTTCCTCGTCAGCACCCGAGAGCATCTCGGGATCAGAGAACTCTTGTTCTTCATCCTCATTCTGAGCCCGTACGACGAAGGAAGTAGTGAATTGTCGCGAGCTGGACGCTACGGACCATGGTCGCAGGGACCGGTGAGAAAGGTTTCGCAGCTGAGCCAACATCACTGAAGAGCTGAACCCCGAAAAATTTGAAGCCTTTCTGGGTCAGATCACGTGTGCACGTTTAGGGCAGCGGGCGCTCCTGCGTCAGACGCGCGCGCGACTGCGCCACACGATGAACGTCGCCTTGTGCAATCCGCCCGACGCTCTCGTCGACGTCCTCCGTGGATATGCAACTCTTTGTCCCATAAGAACTCTTCAATTTCCTAACACTTTGTCCTTTCATCAAGTTCATGAGTTCTTACTGAACCATATCCTTCTTCATCCATTCTTCATATCATACCCTCCCTCGCCACAGTACCAACAGCAATTCTGGAAATGGACTCTGGCGCACCTTGAGTCCATGCCAATGGAAGAAGTCGAGCCCATTCTCTTGTGCTGCGGGGCCTCTTACTAATCTTCGGGCTCTCAAGGATGACGAGATTGACTATCGATTGTATCACCACCACGTCTCCCTTGTATCTCGTTCAACAACGTATGTCATATCTCGACAAGTGATAACCTGCACTAAGAAAAATAGCTCATACGCGATGGGCTTCATACCTCCTTTGCCTTCTTATTTCACATATTTCTGGAGGCAAGGGGGTGGACCGGATTTCGAAAGTGCCACACTCCTGGAATCTCGGACCACCATAGAAAGCGGCACCACCGGACTGAAGACGTGGGGCGCCAGTCTCGTGCTCGCGCAATTTTTAACTGTGTATTCAGGTACATCTATCTCACTCTAGGGCGCATTACCGGCACGTCGCTCACCTATGATATGCAGATCTCGTTCGAGGCAAGAGGCTCTTAGAGCTTGGCTCCGGTGCTGGCCTGCTTGGTATCATTGCTGCAAACATACAGCTGATGGATTCATCGGCATGTGAAAGTATATACCTCACAGACGTAAACCCGGAGGTCCTGGCCAGGTGCGCTGAAAACCTGAGCTTACCGTGTAGTGTGTATCCAAGCCGTTCAACGAAGTGTGACAGCTAAACGACGCGTAGATAAATCGTCTTCCCATCCTAGTATTAAAACAGTACACCTAGACTGGACAGACTCCCTTGATCCAATCGGCATTGCGTCTGTGCATGACTTGCTCGAGGAAGCCTCTCCAGATGTCATCCTTGGGGCCGACGTAGTAAGTAAATTTGAACCTACCGTCGCTCATCTGCTGACTTAAGGGTATAGGTCTATGACCCTGGCATTATACCCTCTTTAGTCGAGATTTTGAGACTCGCACTCGAACACCAAGGCAGAACAGCCTTGATTGCGCTTACCGAGCGAAATCAGGACACGCTCGCACAGTTCATACAAGCAGCACGTATGTCACTTTGCGGTGGTGATCGTTGGCTCTCGGATTCTGAACACGCTATTGGCAGGTGATGTACTTTTAGTGGAACAGCTGCAAGTGACTCTGGCAGATACGAGGATGTTCTGGGGCATTTCAGATTTTGGTGACTCGATTCCAGACCAAATTGTCAAGGTATTCCAACTAAGTACAAGACCTGACCGACCGGGTATAGAGTAGATATGTAACCTATTGTACAATCTGTCTAGCCGAACAGAGTCCATGGACTACGCAAAACTGGTATACGTCATCTTCAAATGGAACTCAGTCGTGCAGAATCTAGCATTAGTTCGCAGGTACACAGCTGTCAGTCTTGACACTCCCGCATAAACGACAAGACCAGAAATCATGAGGCATGTCTTGTTCTCCGCACTTGACGCATGTCCAGCCCACAGACTGCTGAGGTTGTTCCATCGGACGAAGAAGCAGACACGCCATACATTGTAAAGCCAGCGGCTCGTTGATGAGCGTGCAACGCGGACAGCTCCACGAGTCTTCTGACAACGTGCGTCGCTTCGCTGTAGAGCCTACCCTGCTGACCATTGGGGAGGGCGGAGGTGTTCTGGTTTTTGACGCAGAGGCCGACCGTACAGAAGAGGGCTGCCGCATCCGCAGGCCAGCAGGCGAAGAGCTCTTGATCGTTCTGGCGGGAGGCCGC